TTCCCAGAGATCCTGTTCCCAGAATTTTCCCCCAGGGCAGAGCTGGTTGTTAACACTGAACAAACAGCTCGATTTGACTCCTCAGCTCTTTCCTTCTTCTAGAAACAAACTCCACCTGTGGAGAGGAAGCTGGAGGGATCCACACTCCAAACGTTTCCAATCCTCAGGTAGGAAAAACTCTGCTTCCTTGTCTTCAACCTTTAGGGGAGCTTTTGTGGAGCGTCTTTTCCTCCCCTGACAGTGATTAATCTGCTACTTGTCACCATTTCCAGCAACAAAAAAAATCCCTTTTTACCTCCCGTGGTCTCTAAACGCGTATTTATTTTTGCTGCTGTCACAACAGAAAACTTCATTTTCAGGAAACTCCCTGGAGCGTTGTTAACACTCAACAGCTTGATTTAACCCAGAAAAAAAACCCCTTTATTTTCTGATTTCAGGTGGACCATTTGGCCCGAAAAACGTCCGAGCTGGTTGTGTCAGAGAGCAGGACGAGGAGTGGGAAGATATTTCAGAGCTGCCTTGTTAGTACCGCGTGGTTTTTTTTTTTTTCCCCCTTAGTTCTTCCTCTTTCCTGCTCTTTTCCTCTCCCAAGCAGTGGAACAAACCCCTGAGATGGAATTATGGAATTCTCACCGCTCAATGTGGGAGGGGGAATTCTGGCAGGGGGGGTGGGACTGGCTGGGCTTTGGGTCCCTCCCAAAACCATTCCGTGATTCTGTGATTCCAGGGTGTTTTCTTACTCACTGCTGGGACAGAAACCTTGGAATGGGACCCTTGGGTGGGAACAGACCTTGGAATCAGGGAATGGGTTTGGTTGGAAGGGACCTTGGAGCTCATCCAAGTGACAGGGACACCTCCCACTATCCCAGGTTGCTCCAGCCTGGCCTGGGACACTTCCAGGGACGGGGCATCCTTGGAATAGCCTGTGCCAGGGCCTGCCCACCCTCACAGGGAAGGATTTCTCCCATTAAATTCCCACCCAGGAGCACATCCCAGCAGGGACACATCCCAACCTTCCTTCAACCCCTCAGAAAATCCTCATCCAGCTATTCCTGCAGGCCCAGCTCCTCTGGATCACGGCTCTGTCCTGCTCTGGGGGGGGCTGTTCCCTGTCCAGCACCAGGAATTCCCTGTAATTCCCACTCGGTTCTCCCTGCAGGTGCACCAGGCCGAGCTCTCCTCCAGCCAGGACGTGCTGCCCAAGAGGAGGAAGCTCAGCGAGCCCAAGGAGCAGTTTTAGCTGCCAAACCTCTCCTGGAATTCTCCTCCACTCCACTCCCACGTGCTTGTTGGTCCTCAGGGATCTGTTCTGCTCCCTCAGCAGTTCCCAGCGTGTTTTTTAGGGAAGGAAAAGCCAGGAAGCCCAGCTGGAAGATTCGGGGCCCGGCAGGTGGGACTGGAAAACCCCAAAACGGGGTTTTTGGGGTTGACTCCAGGCGTGTCCATGTCCTGACGGTGTTGGAGCAAAGCTCATTCCCACAGAGCCTTTGGGACTTATCCTGGCCCCCCAAAAACCTACCAGGTCCTGGAGGTGATTCCCAGAGCTTCCTGGCTGTTCCAGGGTTTGCTTTTCCTGCTGGGACACTCGGAGGGTTTGATGAGTTGTTTGTGTTTCTTCCACAATGGTGGAAAACCGGCCTTCTCCATGAGTTTAATTCCAGATTCCCTGCCAGAAAATCCAGGGATTTCTGATTCCTTTAACTCCAGATTCCCTGCCAGAAAATCCAGGGATTTCTGATTCCTTTAACTCCAGATTCCCCGCCAGAAAATCCAGGGATTTCTGATTCCCTTAACTCCAGATTCCCTGCCAGAAAATCCAGGGATTTCTCCTGCCCTGTATCCACGTGCAATTCCAAAGTGCTGTGGCAGCGCCTCTTCCAGTGAACTTGGAAGTGCTTAAGCGGTTAATTAATTAACTTACACAGTTAATTGCAGGAGTTGGAGGCGGTGCCAGTTCCCTTTCCAGCAAAAAGGCGTTAATTTCCCGGGAATGGGAGGGAAGGGGAGGGAAGTCTTTCCCCCGGCACAGGCGGGGAGAGCTGGAGTTTTCCTGCGGTTGGAGTTTTTAATTAATTGGGAATGTCCGTTTGTCGTTCCGTTAATTAAACAGCGCTCAGCGTTGGCTGCGGTGACGACAGCGCCGGGATGGGACGGGAATGGGACACGGGATGGGATGGGACACGGGATGGGGCAGGAATGGGACACGGGATGGGATGGGACAGGGATGGGCCAGGACCAAGGACAGGGATGGGACCTGAGAGCGCTCCTGGGA